TGTTAGAGTTAGCCGAATAAGGGTAGATTAGTCAACTCACCTTTGTTAAGTTATGAGCTTATGTGGCAGTCTTATTAGAGGTTCTCTGTCCCATACTTAAGTAGGGGCAGTTTAGTCCTTGTACATTTAATTAGAAGCCTAATCACTATTAAGATGTCGACTGATAGGGTTTAGCTATCAGGTTCGACAATTCTTTCATCTTCTTCTTCTTCTTCTTCTTCTCCTTCTCTTTCTTCTTCTCCTTACTGGTTGGAACTACTGTAGCAACAGTAGAAACACACTGAATTAGTCCTCAGTGGTGCAGTCATTCTTCAGTTTACATTTTGCTGGTCTGTTCTGATGTCTGGTATCAAGTAATGTTGACTGTGCTTTCATTTTTTTATTCTTCAGCATGTGTGAACATTTAGTTTGGGTAGATTTTGTATTATGTTTTGATTCACTTCACATGCTCATGCTTCATTCAGTAGGTTAATTATGCTATTCCATGGAAAAGTAGAAATTTTATTTAGTTGGCAAAGTTCTTTCTTCTCATGATTGAAAAAAAACTCTATTGAGTAAAGCATGGAAAGAATGTTCAAAATGTGTTTAAATAAGTATGTGGGAGAGTGGAGCAGCTTAGGGCATGCCAATATGTGTGCCTTTTGGTTTGCATATCTTCTGATTGCCAATATGGATATTCATAGATTTCTAGTCTCTTTCTATCTTTAGTTTAATATATATAACTAGAGAGTTCTGTATGTATGAGGTCAGATTTACCTGTACTGACTTTGAAATTTTGAAGCATGTGATGCTAAAACTTGATGCTGATATTTGCCACCGCTACCTTTTTAGCCATCAAGGTTCTTTACAAGGACCAAGTGATGAAGGTATATATAATTCTTACATTTTATGCATAAGCCATATTGTTATTTTTTTTTGATGAATAACTATATAATTCTTACATTTTATGCATAATACCCCTTTACAAGTGGGCTATTAGTGCCCCTACCCCAAATTATACCTTCTACATACAAAGAACCCCAAATATACAATTACTGCATTGTATGGTTTAGGTCTTGTCCTCTCTTTTACTGCTATATACATACATATTTTTCGCGTAGGTTTATTTCACATGAAGCAAAATCAATATCAGCAATGCATGTAGTCTGATAATGTTGTGTGCTGGTGCATCTCTGTAAATTGTCAGTGTCCTCTGAGCTTCATAAAAAATGTATATTTGAGCTTCCTGAGATTTTCACCACAGTTGTTCATCTCTGTCTGGTTGAGAATCACATTTTACAGTATTTTGACCTCTCTGCCTATTTGGTTCATGCTTACAGAGGGTTGACGAAGCCATCAAAGAGAAGGCATGCAATGCTCTACTTCCCAAGGTACCATTTGTTGCCTTAATTAATTAATTTAATTTTGTGGTGAGAATGTTCCATTTTATAACCTTGTTTGGTTGTTTGGGAGTGTTCCATGTTTTGAACTTCAGTCAGTAGCCAAAAGTACATAATCCTTTACATCTGTTGGAAACAGATCAACCAAATTGGTTCTGTGACCGAGAGCATTGAAGCTGCGGAAATGTCCAAGCGTGCTAGGGTGTCATGGCCAGCCATCGTAGATTTGGATTTACCCTTGCCTTGTGATTATGGAGATAATACTTTTTACTTTCAAATATGTGGCATAACCGCATAAGTTCTGTTTCTGCCAGTGGAGAGACAGAAGACACCTTCATTGCTGATCTCTCCATGGGTCTGGCCACAGTAATTTACTTAATTTGAATGTTACTTTATTGAGTAATTTCAGTAGATAGTAGTAGTGCTTGTTTCATTGAGATGCTGCCAATCTTTCTCCTAATCCTTGCTTTTTATCAGGGATAAAATTAAGAGAGGAGCCCCATGCATGTCAGAGCGTCTTGCCTAATACAATCAATAAGCATATTGGGCCTTGTTTTGCATGTGTATACTTCTGTCTTCTCTTGTGATATGATATGGCAAATTGGTTTTGAATCCTCAGATGGGGCCATGTTTGCTTAGATATGAAAATTCTTTTTTCTGTTTGCAGTTATTGCTAATTGAAGAGGAGCTTAGTTCAGAAGCAATTTATGTTGGAGCAAGCTTCTGCAAGCCTGTTGAACCCTACTAAATTTTGAGACCAGTTCAGAGCTGTATTTGGAGGTTTTGTAATTTGTGTTGTTGTATTTAGGACTTCAGTTTTTCCTTTATATATTTTATGATTTTTTCACATTTTCAACTTTACGCAGCATCCCTATCTTACTGCTAGTATATGCCAACGTTGTAGCTGGAGTTAAATTAGAAAATAAAGTCTATTAGAATGATTTAATATTGATGAAAATTTTTACAAATGTATTAATGATTTTTCTCTTTTGAAATCTTTATAGGTATACATCAATGTATAACTTGTAAATGTACTCATTCTACATTAAAAAAATTACAAAATGCAAAGAAAATAAGGTCCTTATGATGTATCCATGGAAAAAAAAAGAATGCATAGTCTATTATAATGATTTAATATTGATGAAAATTTTTACAAATGTATTAATGATTTTTCTTTTTTGTAAATCTTTATAGGTATACATCAATGTATAACTTGTAAATGTACTCATTCTATATTAAAAAAATTACAAAATGCAAAGAAAATAAGGTCCTTGTGATGTAATATCCATGGAAAAAAAAGAATGCAAAGAAACTAAGAAAGTAATGATGTATAACTTGTAAGTCTTACTTGGTAAATTAATCATGGTGAATGATGCAACTCAAACACTGGTTTTGAATGCAAAGCGGATTTTAAAGAAACTGAGAACAAATGTCTTCAGGACTGACGAGAGTGAAAGATGGCCTGATAGCTGAATCGTTGTTATTTGTTTTATTCTCATCATCCTCATAACTCATAACTGTTTGCAAAACTTAAATATACCCAGAGATTTCAGCAATTGCAGGTTTAATCCAAAACCACCACCACCGTGACAAGCTTTTGTTCAGAGGGAAAGCAATGAATGCCGAGTTTCTTAGGTGGATGAGTAACTTCAACGACCTTGTAGGAATAAATATCTTGATCTCTTTGTTTTTGCAGAAAACCTAATCTCTGCAATAATGAGTTTGCATGTATATAGATAATCAAAAGGGTTAGACTATGATATGGAAAAGATATGATATCGGAAAAACATCTAACCAATCAACTGGGATCATAAACGTAGTAGTGAATCAGGTGTTATTTATCAAAATTTATGGGTGGGTTTTGATTCGTTAAAACTCTTTTCAAATCATATATTTTCTGCATCATAGATTTTCCCTAATCCAAAGTTACGATTATTGACAAGATTAGATATGTTTTGAAAAAAATTGCAAAAACAGTGAGCTATACAAAAAGCTTATTATTTTTGACCAAATTGCCCCTTTTTAAAATCCCACCCATCATGCATTATAACTTCACTTTTATTCTTTCATTGTCTTTGCCTTTAGTGTTTATCTCTCTATCTTTGTATCTCATTCTCATTTTGTTAGAGCATCCATTTATTTCTCTATTTTTTTTTTGTATTTTTCTCTATGTTGAAATGAAGTTGGAGGCTTCTATTTTTGTAGAAAACATAGCTCGAGCTCTTTACAATGGGGAGATGGGACTTGTATAGTCGACAACAAGTATTTGAAATTGTGGTTGGCTTGAGTTTGAAGTTGGTTTATTTCAAAGAAGAAAAATGAGCTTGATTTTCTCTAGATTTGTCAATTATTTAAGAGTAAAATCTTTAATAAAAATGCCCTTTACACTTCATAGAGAGTAAAAACCCTAGAAGTTTATTGCTACCTCACAACTCTACGTGTTGTTGTAGTCATGGAGATTGCAAGAATGGTGAAGGATGTTCCGCCTCATGAGTTCGTGAGGCATAACTACAAATCCATGTGGTTTATTGGGTTCCACTTGTGAGAATCATACAAACCCATGTGGTTGATTGGGTTCTAGGTGCATTTGATAGTGTAACTACAACCAGATTATTTGAGGGATAGATGTTTGCGATTATAATTGCAAGCAATCATCCGATCTTTTCAATCTCGGATGGTTTTTAAGCCTATAGTACACTATTTGGTCTTCCCCATACTAGATGGTTTGTGTGCCTATGAGAATCATATATAACCATGTGATTTGTTTGGTTTTAAAGGAATTTGAATGTGTTAGATCACTTATGTAATTAATTATTATAACTATAATTGATGATTCAAAATTGTAAGCAACCATTCGGCTTGTGTAATGTCAGATGATTTCTGTTGTTGCCAAGGATGGGCCGAGGGTAATAAGGTAACTTCACTTCCTTAGCCGAGGGCGAGGTCTGATAAGTCCGACCTATGAAGGAGAGAGTACGTTAGAGAACTCAGGTGTTATCCCAGGGGCGGAGTCCTCGGCGGTCAAGTTAGTCTAGTGTGCTAGAGGGGGTCGAAAGAGGCCTGAGGAGAGAGCTCAGATGAGGTCACTTGAGAGTAAGAGAGCTTAAGAGCAGGGAAAAGCCAAGTGACCTTACCAATGGAGGGACACCCCTATTTATACTTGAACTCGCTTGGGATTGGTTGGAGGTTATTAGCAGCGGACGACCAAGATTGCATCATAGCCCTGCCACGTGGCGCCATCCTAGCCCTACCACATGCGTCTACATCATTTGCCCCCACTCTCGAGGCCGTGATGGATGAGGTCCGATGAAGAGTTGAGTGGAGGCCTCGACTCCGGCTGAAGAGAGTGCAATGATATCACTGGAAGGCGCTGGGTCTAGGTATTGAGGGACCTCAACTTTGTTAAAGAGAGCGTCATACTAAAAGCACGGAGGAGTTAACCTTAGCTATTGAGGGCTTCCCTTTGTTGTCTAGTGGCAGCTGCCTTGGAGTTGACTCTGTCTCTTAAGAGGATCATGGAGGGTCGAGGGCTAGGTACCATGCCTTGTACAGGTACAAGGTGATCGTGCCCCTCAGCCATGTGCTTCACAGACGTCGCAAAGGACCCGTGCGTAGGATAGGCGTCAGCGTCGATTGATCGTTGCCGTGTGTGGGACAGATGATGGATTGGTTGGCTGTAGCCGTGTGCGAGATGGGTCTTGGCATCGACTAGCTGTGACTGTATGCGAGACGGGTGTCGGGTTGCCCAGATTGAGTTGCTTCCGATTTGGGATCGGAGGGCGAACCGGTCAACTTGCTCGGCATCGTTTCGCATTCCCGAGGTCGACGACACATGTCACGTGTCGGTTCGGGCTATCAAGTTGGCTGCTCTATGGCCATTGGATCAAGGCGATCTAAGCCATTCATTTTTTCTTTAAATAGGGCATTGGTTAAGGCAGTTGCTACCATTTTCCTTCTTCAGCTTGAGCTTCCGGAGACCTCGACCACCTTCTTAGTCGATCCCTTAGCTTTTATCTTAACTCTGATTACTAGGTAAAGGACTGCACCCTTAGCCATGTCGTACTCTGATTCTGATCCTAAGTGTTATAACCTCCTTGAGCTATTGGGAGTAAGCTCATCTCGTCCTACCACATCCATAAGTAATAGAGGAAGCTATGGTAGTGAGTCCAAGGGATCGCCTCTGAGGCCCGAGGTCTGGGTATTGAGGGAGAAGACTGCTCCTGGAAGTGCCAAGTGTAGCCAATGGGGCAATGAATCTCCCAACGAAAGTACTGGCTCTACGTGGCCGAGGGGTGGCGTCGCAAAGGACCTTGCTGACATAGTAGATTGACCGCTGCACTCCTTCATCCTCTCGCACCAGAACAGAGCTGACGACCTCATCTTCGGCCGAGAGGTATAGGAACAATGTTTCTCCTGGAAGGGGCCATGTGAGCAGAGGGCGCGGGGCGAGGTAAGACTTCAACTCGTCAAAGGTTCTTTGGCATTCTTCAGTCCACTAGAAGTCCTTCAGCTTCTTGATGGCTTGAAAGAAGGGTAGGTAGCAGTTGACCGACTTTGACATGAATCGGTTGAAGGCATCCACTCGACCAGTGAGCCTTTGTGTTTCTTTGATGGACCGAGGTGGCTCCATGTCAAGTATGTCCTGAATTATTTATGGGTTGGCCTTTATACCCACTGAGAGACGACGAAGCCCAAGAATTTGTTCGATGTGCTGCCAAAAGCACATTTGTTGGGATTAAGCTTCATGTTGTACTTCCTCAGCGTTGCAAAGGTCTCGGCTAGGTCCAAGGTGTGATGGTCGGCCTTTAGAATTTTTACCACCATGTCATCCACATAGGCTTTGACATTTCTTCCCACTTGATTCTTGAAGATTTTGTTCACAAGCCGTTGGTAGGTAGCCCCAACATTTTTCAGGCCAAAGGGCATGACCTTGTAGCAGTAGGTGCCATGCTTGGTGATGAACGAGGTCTTCTCCTTGTCCTCAGTGTGCATCTTGATATGATTATATCCGGAGAAGGCATCCATGAAAGTCAATAGCTCATAACTTGTGGTGGCGTTGACGAGGCGGTTGATCATCGGCAAATGAAAGCTATCTTTGGGATAGGCTCGGTTGAGGTCTATGGAGTCAATATAGATCTGCCATTTCCCGTTAGCCTTCTTAACCTTGACCACATTGGACAATCATTTAGAGTAATGTACTTCACGGATGAAACCAACGTCAAGTAGCTTGTCTACATCATCTCCAATGGCTTTCCAACGCTCTGGTGCAAAATTCCTCTTTTTCTTCCGAATTGGCCTACAGCTCGGGTCCACACTTAGCCTGTAAGTAATGATTGAGGGGTCAATTCTAGGCATTTTAGCGGCAGACCAAGCAAAGACGTTGATGAGAATGCAAAATATCATATTTTTCTCCCTTAATGTTTAGTATTTTATACTTATTTAGTGCCTAAATGGACTCATTATTCTTATATTTTGATTTAGGGCACAAATGGAGGCATTAAGTGAAAAATGGAGCTAATTGGGCAATTCTGGACAGTTTCGGCATCGAGGTCGAAATCGGGCTCTAATTAGCTGCACCTGCACTGCTGACGTGCTGGAAACGTTTCTACAAGTTTTCATATGCGGGAATCACCACCCTCCTAATTACATTAGAACTCTATTTTATCTTATTTTTATTATTTTTCTTGATAAGTCAGAATTAGAGACTGTTATTTAGAGAAAAATATTAAGAGATTTTGTAGGCTTCTCTTGGGGGATGGGAAGTGGAGAGAAAAGAAGAGGAGAAGGAAAACAAGAAAAAAGACAATCAGACTTGGGCTGCCGCACCTCCTCTCTTCTTCTCCAATTCTTCCTTGAGTTTTCATCATGACCATGCGTGGCTAAATTCTGATACTTGGTCGAAGGAAACAGAAGCCTTAGAATC